GTCAAGGAAATAATATTCTATTTAAACTATAGCTAACACCTCCACCCAAAGATCCGAAACTAATATTGTATTGACATTCATATTGACCTCCCCCCAAAGTCCTGAAACTAATATTGTATTGACATTCATAGCTAATACCTCCACCCAAAGACCTGAATATAATATTTTATTGACATTCATATTGACCTCCCCCCAAAGTCCTGAAACTAATATTGTATTGACATTCATAGCTAATACCTCCACCCAAACCCCTGAATCTAATATTTTATTGACATTCATATTGACCTCCCCCCCAAAGTCCTGAAACTAATATTGTATTGACATTCATATTGACCTCCCCCAAAGTCCTGAAACTAATATTGTATTGACATTCATATTGACCTCCCCCAAAGTCCTGAAACTAATATTGTATTGACATTCATAGCTAATACCTCCACCCAAAGACCTGAATATAATATTGTATTGACAGTTATATTCTGTTGATAATTCTCTGGGTCATAATTCTCCAACCATTTTTGTCCCACACAATCATGCCTTCTCTTAAAGTCTTTCTCTCATCAACGCCCCTGTATTCTTCAATAACGTTAATCTTTTATAATCTCTAACAGCAACTGTTGGTGAAAGTTTCCCACCATTTTGGTTTCTCTGTTTTTGACATATCACCCCAATCATAATTTACACATGTCGTTGGCAAACTTGTTTTAAAGACCTGAAACTTGATATTTTATTGAGATATTTATATTTTCTTGATAATATTTTTCCATGCATATTGATAATAATTTGCGAATATTTTTATTACACCTTTGGATCAGAATATTTCAGAGCCTTCATCCTAAGATCTAACACTGGAATTTTAAATCTGTAATATTGGTTGTTGACCGGAAATAAAGCCGGGGTTAAACACAATAAACTTGGAGGAAAATACCGGATAATCTCGTCACAATTCCTTACTCTTACAGATTTAGGAAATAAATCTAGAAAATCTGTCTTTAAATCGCTTACTCTAACCCAATAGTTGTGGATTTATGGCGATTCAACACCGTTGCTATTGGCAATGTTTACCCAGGATGTCGTATCCATGGTGATATACATGTTATTAAACAAAAGAAACGGTGAAAATGTCAAATTTTTATGTTGGAAATCGATAGTGACAAAACTTTCTTCGCCTTCAGTGACATTTTACATAATATTTTACATTTCAAACATTCTTGATCTTTCTCAAGTTTTTGGACATTTTGGATTAGGTTTCTGTCAAGGATTTGCTACCAGAATTTTATAAAATGTTCTTTTTATTAATAAGTGAAATGAAATGAAATGGAGTTTAACGTCTTACTGTTTTGCTCCTACACTGGGCTAATGAAGACGGCCATACGCCATACAGTGTGCTATGAGGGAAATTTTGCCCGAGTAGCGGCGCTACGGCCTACTCTTATATCGAATTCCAACTGCTAAGGGATTTTTTACGTGCACGCCAATTTGTACACGGGACCTCGGTTTTTCGTCCCATCCGAATGACTAGATAGCTGTCCTTGTCAGGCCCTCCGTCCTGCATCACTGACAAGGGGAAACCACGCCGGAAAATCTGGATGAACTTTCTCGGCCAATGCAGGGATCGCATACCCGACCTCCAGGCTAGCGGCCCAGCGTCTTACCCACTTATCCACGTGATCCAGTAAGTCATCATTAAACGTAATATCTTACATCTCACAAATACAAATACTGATTTGATTATATTTAGGTTTAGTTTAATAAAACTAATGGGAAGAATTCTTTGGCTTCTGAGACTCCAAGATTGACTGGAAATGTGGATTCATGTTGAATTTTTTATCTTGCGGAACCTATGAATTTATGTATTATATTTTTGTCTCTCGGAACCCATGAATTTTTGTATTATATTTTTGTTTCGTGGAACCCATGAATTCCCACTTGTCTCACGGAACCTTGCGGAACTGTGGAATGCACTTTGGGAACGACCCATGGTATATAAATAACGCAATGAATTTAATCCTCATATCATCCCCCGTAATATTCACTACCTTTCTCCTATAATATTCACTACAAAACCGGGACTGTAAAGCGCGCCGACGTGGTTTCCCCTTGTCAGTGGTGCAGGACTGAGGGCCTGACAAAGACATCTGTCTAGTCGTTCGGATGGGACGACAAACCTTGTACACATTGGCGTGCACGTAAAAGATCCCTTGAATTCTATGTAAGAGTAGGCTGCAGTGCCGCTGTCCGGGCATAATTCCCTCATAACACACTGTATGGCGTAGGTCCGTCTTCATTAGCCAAGTTCGGGGCCGAACAGTAGGACGTTCAACTTTTATTTCATTTAATGTGTAATGTTTGTGTATATGGCGTGTCTTGTCTTGTGTATTTTGTTAACGCGTGGTGTGGTACAACTGCACTTACTAATATGTATAATCACGTTACATAAGGTTATTTGGTGGATCATTTTGGCCTCTTTGATTAATTTGAAGAATTTGTTTAAAGTCGGCACATTTAACCCAGTCGAAGCGACATGAATCAGGTCGTGGACAACTAATGTTGTTAGTATGAAAGAACGTGAACAATGGCTGCTATGTTTGTCTGTACGAGTCAATATTAACCAATCTTCTACCACCGTGGGACTAAACGTGGAGCAAGAATGGGAGACAATCTGCTCTTTAAGTGAATTTAAGTCGAATGGTCAAGAGCTTGTTATCACATCTGGTTGAGTTATCACACCTGGGCGATTATTGTACGAGAAATAAAACAAAAAACAAAGGATTTGGACACTGAACTTTCACACCAAAGCACAAATACTATATTCTTCTTTGAGCGGCATTTAGCAATTGACACACGTAATAAGCACAAAAACTTTATATGGAAAACAATTACTATTTTACTTAAAGCGGGGTATTTCTCAACGTTTTCAAACAAATAATGATGAATATAATATACAGAAGGTTAATTTACAAAAATAGGTAACAATTAAACATACATTATGCAAGAGCTAAATCTGTCTATTGTAGGTCTTTCTTTAGGCCTGAAATGTTAATTAAATTTTTAATGATACATTAATTAACTTATCCAGGCCATAATCAACACTCGATGGCATCCGATTTCTCCGATATTAAATAGATTAGAATAGTTCAGCGATATATTGATTTAAGCTTAAAATGGAGGAGCGGGACTTAGCTTCGAACAACCAGTACGGTGGTTAAAATTACTGCACACGTCTTGTAAAACCTTCAAAGGCTAATATCGTCGCTAATATGAATAAAATTTTCAAATTATTCATTTTACTTTATCTTTTTTCGAACTATTATAGCAAGAATGGCTAAATCTTACATAATTTATCTTTAATTAACCAATAAATACTTTAAAAAAAAACTTATATGCATATACTACTTCTGAATTTATTAATATTGCATATTAATAAATTCAGAAGTAGTATAAGTGTTTTTAATTTGTGAAATCTGTTTCTGTATGTCTTATAAGGATTACAATAAATACTGTCTTAATACGAAGCTTTTCTACAAATTCTATAAATCGGTGCTTTAATTTGCCCCTTTGCTTTTAACAAGGATAACGCCTTACAAATCTAATATAATTATTAACAATTTGGCCAGACAGATATTAACAGATAATACAGAGCAAGAATTATGCCAGAAGTCTCAATCGAATGACAATCTCTAGCGTCTGGTTTTTTTCCAGCCTCCAGATAAGAATATGACGTCACCGTTCGACATGAATTGTGGAATATGTCTAGCCTCGTTCTTCGAGTCCCTTGTTACAAATGGCACTGAAACGCATTAGGGTACACGATGGGTATTTTGTCTTAAATATTGGATATCAGAAGCCCATATCAATGTTAATTTAAATTGACAAATAATTCGTGTTTTCAATTTCGAAGACTTTAGATGATATATAGAGACTTAGCTACTTTAACAAACTGAACACATTTTAACAGATAATACAGTAACAACAAGTTCAACATTATCAATTTAGCATACCATTGTTTACAAAGTATAAAATAAAACTGATCATTAGGCACCCGTCAATTAACAAAACCACAGAAAGACACTAAAGCTAGACGGCCCAATAAACATAGAACTAGCACACCATTTACAAAAATCAAATTGACTGACCACAAAACGAGACCGTTAAAACCGGACAATAAATATAGTACAAGCAACAATATATTTACAGGTGCCTTAAACAATAAAACTTAACATCATGACACAACAATGACACAATAAACACAACGTCATTAATTGTGTGCACTAGTTGTATTTCATATCCGCTTCCAGCGAAGTGATATCATATCATCGCACAACAATGACACAATAAACACAACGTCGTTAATTGTGTGCACTAGTTGTATTTCATATCCGCTTCCAGCGAAGTGATATCATATCATCGCACAACAATGACACAATAAACACAACGTCGTTAATTGTGTGCACTAGTTGTATTTCATATCCGCTTCCAGCGAAGTGATATCATATCATCGCACAACAATGACACAATAAACACAACGTCGTTAATTGTGTGCACTAGTTGTATTTCTTATCCGCTTCCAGCGAAGTGATATCATATCATCGCACAACAATGACACAATAAACACAACGTCGTTAATTGTGTGCACTAGTTGTATTTCATATCCGCTTCCAGCGAAGTGATATCATATCATCGCACAACAATGACACAATAAACACAACGTCGTTAATTGTGTGCACTAGTTGTATTTCATATCCGCTTCCAGCGAAGTGATATCCCAGATTAAACCTTTTTAAGATCCATTAACAGTTATTGTTTATGGAAGAGCCTATATTCAGGACGTCTAGTGTGGGGGTGAATTCCAACACGCCTAGTAAGACAGCACGTGGGATAAGAGTAGATAACTCTAACTCAACATTCCCGATAGATAGAACCCTTGATGTGGTCACAATTATGCGATCCTTATACATGAATTTCTTTTTATACTCACAAATCCTCTGTTTTTCTATTTGCAGATCCAAATGACAAGGTCGAATCAGCTCATGACTCCAGTTCCGGTATCGCGTCAGATGTGGCATCATACTACCCACAAACCAATATGTCCACGTTCAAGGGAGATAACGCGGGATCGGACAAAACATCGGAAGACTCTGGTAGAAAAAGCGTATCCTGGGCCAGTAATCTCGACTCCCCGAGGTCTTCCAATCATTACGTGCAGATGCACATCAATAAACAGCGTCAGAGCCCAGTAACCACGGCAACGTATAAACAAAAACATATCAGTCCACGAGACAAACTTGTGAATAAATCTGTCACTATAGATTTACAGGATACGACCAAGTTGTTTCTCTCCTCTAAAGGGAAACATACCCGACCATCTCCCTTCGAACTATTATCAGATGACATCGTGCTAAAGATTTTATCCTACCTTCCCAGTGACCATCTGTGTCGGTGTTCTCGGGTCTCTCGTCAGTGGTACGAATATGTGTGGGAGCCATTTTTATGGACGAAGATCGTCATCAACAACAAAAACATTAACGTGGACAAAGCTTTGAAAATTCTGACGAAGCGTTTAGGTTATAATACGCCGTATGTCTGTGTGATATTAGAACGAATTAATTTAAACGGCTGTGAACAGTTAACGGACAAAGGTCTTCAGACAATCGCTAAACGCTGTCCGGAACTCCGCCATATTGGATTACAGGGATGTCATAATGTAACGAACACAGCTGTATTTGAGCTGGTTTCTAACTGTGTAAATCTGGAACATTTCGATCTTACAGGTAATTATTGTTCCCAAACGCCACCATAAAACATAATAAAATATGTCATTTTTCAGATGCTGAAACGTAGGGGCCTCGTTCCCCTTTAATAACAGGCCTCGTTCGTTTTTCCCCTTTAATAGTTAGCAGTATACCACGGATTCTAACAAATCCCGAAACCTTCAAACATGGCCAACCATCGTCATGAAAACTACCCAGTAATGGTATCTTTCTCAAACGTATAGAAACGTCGTATTCTGTATAGAGAGACATGTTCAGTTTCAAAATGCTTTGGTTAACGTATGATATATCGACCAGATTGGCGGTATATAAATTACAATCGCTAGTGCTTATTTCCATAATTAGCACGAAAGAAAATTGTTTAAAGCGTTTACTGCTATTATATGAAATTACTTGAATTAAACTTTCACGTTCAGATTAAAGAGTTTGCTATTACAATATGAAATTATTTTTATTAAAATTTCATGATTCTGAAAATGACTCTCTATACGACTACCTCAACTTTTATTTTTAATTTTATAGATTCTGCTCGTGGCTATAGTTCATGATTAAATGTTTTAAAGGATCGAGAGCAGTAAGGTCTCCGATAGTTCATTGAACGAATACTGGTAGACAGATCACGCGGTCCACCCAAAACATTGAACGAACACTGCTAGACAGATCACTTGGTCTACCCAAAACATTGAACGAATACTGCTAGACAGATTACTCGGTCCACCCAAAACATTGAACGAATACTTGTAGACCGATCACTCGGTCCACTCAAAACATTGAACGAATACTGCTAGTCAGATCACTATGTCAACCCAAAACATTAAACGTGAGCACAGTCTTCTTGGTGACCATGGACCCAAATAAGTTCAAATATCAACTTTCAATAACATCTGATACCACTTCTCATTCGAGAAGTTCACAAGATCTGCTTGATTCAGCACCTTATTTGTTCGGGTGTCACGGGAAAGACCGGAAGCCAAACGTAAGGTAACGGTCATTGCCGAGGACAAGCGTAATATAACGGAGATTGGCGATGACTTTTAAGTGAGATTGCATAAAGATTATTACGACCTCCCTGCTCTCCGTCCTTTACAGTGTATACTATGGTGTAAATAGAATATAGACTGTTGTGGTATATTTATTTCGTATGATTAGCATGCTATTTAAATAACATCTAGACTAGTACAGAGTTGACATGTATTCTTCAGAATCATTTTGCATCAAAACCTCAATTTAAGTCCCAAGTTTGCTGTAAGCACGGATCTAGTAAGGATGTGTCTTTGGATAATGATCAATGGCTTCGCCATTAGTTAACTAATTGCACCCCGAACTAAATTCATGATTATTTAAAAGCCCCAGGGGGCCTTATTCACGAAAACATAAACTAAAATATTTTAAGAATGCAGCCTTTTCGTTGGTTGAGAGTTTAAATCCAAGTACGAGGCCATTGGTCAGTTTATACTGAACTGAAAGCGTTTTGGTTAAAATGATGTAAAGAATATGTGGAAACTTTCATTTGATTGCATAAAACTCGTGCTGGTAAAATGTCTTGTCATCATAATCTTTTTTTAATGATTTGCCAAACTTGTTAATTTCTTAAACGAATATTTCCGAACGCATGTAAGAGTGTGACCGCAATCGAAAGTAGCAAATATTTGGTAAATAATATTTGATTTTCTTACTTTTAGATGGCCTTCAATTTCTTCAAAATTTCATAATCAATACCTAATCGAATAACTTCCATGTGTCAAAACCATATTGTTTACATTGGGATGTATCTTTAATAGATTTTCGCAAAAATAAATTGGCCTATATATTAGCTCCCTGATTGGTTGTAAAACACGTGTTGATGCCAACTTAACAAATTTACATAAAAACTACAAGCAATAATTGGGAGAAAATTTCCTAATCTTGAAATGATCTATTTTTAAATATTGATTAAGAGGGTTGAAACGACGGATTTTATTTAAGCTATGGGCGTATAGATAGTTAGTTACTTTTAGTTATATAGATACCCGTAGTGCCATGAAAACAGATATTAGATAAATAAAACTATTACAGCCCCTTTCTAATATATTTTACAATTAATAATAAAATCAGACGGGCATGATTTATGGCTAAAATTGTATCCGATCAGCGCGGTGCTTCCGCCTACTTTTTAACCAATTGGAACTGATAAGGTTTTATTTACGTTAACCCCATCCGAAGGACTAGATTCCTGTTTCTTACCAGTTGTAGAAGTAATTTATTCGACCCTTTATCAGCACAAGTTGTATGCGCAATCTTATTGTAGTTGATAAATATATATATAGTGAAAGATTATCGTGAAATGGTATAATATATCTTGTAGCTATATGGTTAATTTTTTCACGATTGCTGACTTCTCTATATTAGTTTTATATCCGGTACCGTATCTATTTATAAAAACTATCTAGTCCTGGAAGAGTTGTAGAAATTATATGGAAACATTTTAGGACCAGAAACTATGTTTCGAGCGCTACTCGTCTTGCTGCTCTTCTTATTCTTTGGGCGATACCCATCGTTAAAATTCTAAGCATCTGTCAATTCAAGTACTGGGTTTGCTTGTTCCTTGGACAAATGCACATCGATTGGCGTCACAAGAAGGTAGCGATGACGTCATGATCGGTTCCTGGTCCATAGTACGTTCCTCCTTGCTTAAAAAAACTGTTTCTTTGGGGCGATAATCATCTGTCAATTCGAGTACTGGGCCTGCTTGTTCCTTGGACAAATGTGCATCGATAGCTCGGTTCCCGGTCAATAGTACGCTCGTTCTTGTTTAAAAACCGGTTTCAAAAATGGATTAAAGCTAAAAAATATTCATGTGTTGATTGATACCTACTAGGTATATTTTCTATACCAACGACTAGTCGTTTTTATAAATAGATTTCTTAATTTGCTTTATGATATGTTCACATGCATGTCTTATTCGCACTGGCCTGATCATTATCTCTTATCAAATGCTATAGACATATTATTTCTTGGAACGGTTGACTTAAAACAAAGGCCCATAACTCAAAAATTCAACAACATAATGTTAGCAATAATTTTCTGGGCTATTGTTTCATTTCCCTGTAAAAGTTTGGTTTGCAGATCCAAAATCTACAAAATATTTTCTATTTTTATTCGGCTGTAAAACAAATATTAAAAACTGGAAAAGTTGAACTCTCAAGAAAGTTAGATTTTGGCATTGTTTAAAGCTAACTATCGGTTCTAACAAATACATTCTATTTAATTTCGGCATCTTGCTTGAATCGTAAGAAATTCGCCGCTGAGCGAAGACTATGGTTGTTATTTAAAGCAAGTCAATGACCAAGAAATGATATAGTTATATCTATTTTAATCATTCGCTAACTTTGAATGTTTTTGTTTTCTTTAATATTTCAACTTTCTGCACGCCATCTTTTGTAATCTGTTCTTACTTAACACTTGTTAAACCAAATCTTCACGGTAAGTAATTTCAAATTATTAGCTTTGTGGATCAAAGTTTAGATCATGCTCCATGCTCCAATACCGGATGAACTATATACATTCGTCTGCATGTGCGTACTGAATGAAGACATGAAATGCACATGCACAGGTGGTATGATAAAATAACAGATGATGCCATAAGGAATGTTTCAAAGATAAAGGTTTAGTATCCACTCAGTTATAATGTTAATGTGCAGTCAAATGGCTAACAAGAGGCTGTGAATGTTTTAAAACTTTGGCAAAATATTCTCTGGTAATGTTATGTTGGCCATACTATGAGATGGACAATATGACGTGTGTATGACGTGTGAACAGGGCTTAATACACTTAAACTAAAGTAAATGTTAATTGGTATTATGATAGATATTCTGTTCATTAAGGTAAGTCTTTCATCCCTTTTCTCTGCCTGGCTCGGGCTTCATTTACTTCCAACATTTTTTTTCCTATAATGTCATTCATTAATCATAAAATTATCTTTATTATCTCCCCTTGTTTAAATATTATCTCCCTTGGTTGTGGTAAACTCTTGACTATATCTGTTTCTACCCTAAATTATATTTTTATTCTTATTAACGATTATCACAAACTAACAATCATTGCACCTGATGTGTATTTATATCATACAGTAGAACGACCCTGACAACCATAACTATTTAACTTCCGTTGTTCTACACTTCCGGTCCAAAAAGAAGACGATTACGTGTGTCTTTTGTAAGCTTCGGGTAGCTGTAAATGATGAGGGTTATAAAATGATAATCAAGAACAATTATTTTAATAATTAAAAAAGTTCTTTTATAGCTTTGATTGTTTCGGTTTACCCGTTCTGTGATATTCATGAACAAAAGCAAGTAATTAATCTTTTGCTGTTGTATTTTTATAGGTTGTTCATCGGTCACGTGTATAAGTTTACTGGAAGGAGCTGTATCACATGGAACACCACGTCACCAACAACAGATTTACCTACGATATTTAGATATGACGGATTGTTTTGCTCTGGATGACGAAGGTTTGGGAATCATCGCCATGCATTGTTCTCAGTTGCAGTTTCTATATTTACGACGCTGTGTGCGCCTCACTGACGAATCCATGCAATATCTAGCCAATTACTGCAGCACTCTGCGTGAACTCAGTGTTTCAGACTGTCGTAAAATCACAGATCTTGGACTAAGAGACCTTTCAAAACTAGGAGAAAATTTACGATATTTAAGTGTCGCTAAATGTGATCGTATGTCAGACGTTGGTGTGCGCTATTTGGCGAAGTTCTGTTCTAAATTACGTTATTTAAACGTTCGCGGGTGTGAAGGGGTTTCTGATGAATCTCTAGAACTACTTTCTGTGAATTGTCCGCGGATGAGGTCGTTGGACGTTGGGAAATGTGATATAACCGACGAAGGCTTATTGGTGCTATCTCAAAACTGTCCGCAGTTGCGTAAATTAAGTTTGAAATCATGTGATCAGATAACGGACAAGGGTGTCGTTCAGTTGTCTTATCATTGTCGGGGACTACAACAATTGAACATTCAGGATTGTAATATTTCTGTGGAGGGTTACAAGTTAGTGAAGCGGTACTGTAGACGTTGTATTATAGAGCACACAAACCCAGCTTTTTATTGAAAGAAATCCACAAGTGTTTATTTCGTTATATTCTGTGTACGTTTACCGAATAACTTATACCAGTAACGTTGAACAATGGGTCTAACGAATAACTTATAATCCCTTACAAGAGTCCCCTGTGGTGTTTTGGATATCCCCCCCCCCCCCAAGATCTGTATTTTTTAAATAATTTATTTATTAAACGCCATACGAACAAAATAGTGCAGGTTACATCAACAGCTTTAAATGTATTTTTAATCAGCGTAATAAGTTCCTTTAATGTTCTTTTATTTCAGTTTAATGTATTTTTCATGCTCTGAGATATTTATGTCTCCACAATTAATTAATTTTATTAAGAATCTCTAACAATAAGTTCGACTACGCCCAGAACAGCCTCGTGGTTACCAGCGAGATTCTGTCAATACTGTAATCACCAAAGGTTGATTTGGGCCATGAACGCGGTTACGGACTGTTCAGAAGAAGAGAATGCCAGTCGTAGTTAGACACCTCTAGGTGAAAGCAAGCGTTGATTCCCTTCGTGAACGGTTGATTCCCTTCATGAACGGCTACGGACTGTCCAGAAGAGGAGACGAATAGAACGCCAGTGGTAACTAGGCACCGTATGGTGCTAGTACCACAAAGTAAAAAAGAAAGCGTTGAATAAAAGCAAAACACTCTATTTGATATAGCTTGAAATGTTTGAAATAATATTTCTGTATATCTAAGAACGGACGAGCGATTGGGATGGTAAAGCAACCCAAATCCAGAAATACTAGTATGCAAAATAAACTCGAAAACATTCCTTTATAGTTTCCGAACAGTGAAGTCGGAACCTTCTGTCTATAGCTATGTTTTGAGTTCTGAATAACGTGTTTAAATTGCCCCTGAGTATTTAAGGTACTGTATTTTTATTATCTCAATCAACGGCCCTGGGGTAATAGTAATGGTAACTGGGGGTTATCGTCGGCATCAACTCTGTTGTAACACTAGGCTGCCCCAATATAACGCGAAATTAAGGGTATAAATATTGTTAAATTATGAACATCGAATCTTACAAACATCCTCCACATTCCTCAAATACGCAGTTTGAAAATTCGAGTTCCTAAATAGCTTTTAATCAAGAATACTGCAAGTACCGGAGCTTAAACTATTAAGAAATTTCTAAATAAATATCCATATTAAACATTTAGTATGATAGAAGCTGATTAATGACAACAACTTATTCTAGCTTATCGCCTCTTTGACAAAGAATTGAATACAAATGAAATGGAGTTTCACGTCCTACTGTTCTGATGAAGACGGAAATTGAGTACATATGTACAAATATATTATTAAATTGTATAAATTTAAATGTATATATTGTTAATAAATACAACATTGTTTTGTAAATATATAAGTTAAATACAGATCATAAACCCCTGTTATAGATATGTTTCTATAGTAATCATGATCAACTGTTACCAATGTTTCCATGGTAAACATGTTAAAAATGCTATATGTGTTTCTATAGTAACCATGTTATAGACATGTTTCTATAACAAATCAAAACCAATAAAAATATAAAGAACTATTTGTACACTGTTTAATGATTTGGGATATAAATGGCGGCACTGAATTTCGACAAATAGAGGATAACACGTGACCGTTACAACAAGTTCCTGATATTTTAACAGGATCATTGTGTGCATGCATATGACTCATTAGCATAGTGGGACAAGTACGAACCCTTTTGGAATCTTGGTACTGACAACATCAACGACGATGCACCAACACCCACATGTTAAATGTATATGTACTATGGATAGATAATCATTTCTTAATGAAGTCATATCCCCTGCAGGGTGGGGGGGGGGGTGTAACGTCGACATAAACTAGGTCATTTCGGGACTAACATGGTCCAATTTTTTATTTCAATAATTCGCTTGTGTCTAGGGGTCTTTAGCAGTGGAAGGAAATCAGAGGACCCTGAGAAAACCCACGAGGTTGGTCAGACGACCCCAGTCCTTGTCACGTACAACCGAGGAATCGAAACCATGCAGTTAACTCAATGACAGAACTTATGATACAGCGCGCACGTGCTAATCATTCGGTTCGGACACCCCCCCCCCCTTTGATACATATGAAGATATTACAGCTTCCCATTATATCGGTGTCAATTTTTTTTTCTTAAAGACAAACAAAAGGTCAGGTAGTTTTATGAACATGCTAAACGAAATGCTTCAAGCGGAATTTTTGAGACAGATTTATAATAATGGCAGCTCCCGTAGCATAAGGTGGAATTGAATTGTGCTGTATCTTTCCAAAAGATATCTAACGGGGTGTGTTTCTGGTAAAATAAGCCATTGTCCAACTAAAACGATCTATTTTGGGGCAATAATAATAATGCAATATATTTCCGGCACTATCCATGAATAAAATTTTGTCAAATATTTAAAACCCTCCAAAACACAGCGGGTCCTGTAGATAAAAATGCTTACTGCATGCGGCAATCGTCTTAGCCCCTGGGAAGATCTGGAGATGAATCCCACACCATTTCGTCCCTTCCCAACTGCTCAATCGACGTCGATTACTCGGAATACGCATAGGAAACGGGCCAAGCAATCCAAAAGTTGTCTGTCAGACGGAGCAATCCAAAAGTTGTTCGTCGCACCAGTAAATCCAAAAGTTGTGTGTCGGATAAAGCATTCCAAACTCTGTCTATCGGACCAAGGAATCCAAAAGTTGTCTGTCGGGACATTCTTGTGGGATATAGAGGTACACCAGACACAAAACTGGCCTATTCCCATTCGTATCTTGTCAAAATATATACATTGTATTTCCAAACAAATGTACGGCGCACGGAGGGTGAACGAATCGTACTACTGCTATAACGAGCACAAAACTCACCGTAGAATCTTCTAGACTTCATTTCTTCGTTGGATATAATAAAAACACTATCATAATAAATAACAACAAACTAAAGTTAGAAAAAGGAGAAGCATTTAATGCCGTTACATATTAAAATACAGAAAGTGGGACGTCTAATAGAATATAGTCAGATAACAAGGCAATAGAGAGACACAACCATAATATATTTGTCATTTACATCGAAATCCATTTAAAATGTGGGTTAAAAGTATACAACCGGGCCCTTATTCACGAAAACTTAACTGAGATAAAATTCAAATTTTAGTAATTTGATTGGATAATATTAGATTGATTTTTGTGCTTAGCCAATCAAAATTGAGGTATCTACTAAAATTTGGATTTTATCTTAAGTTAAAATTTCGTGAATAAGGGCCCAGGTTCTCAGAATCCCATGTTTCTGTACATGGAGATGATAATCATTTAGCGGGAACTGAGGAGAGGAATAAAACACATGACACCATAACATGGATTATTAAACTTCTGTATTTTTCCTTTCAAGATTTATCCATAGTTATTGAATCATTATCATGTTTGACATCCTACTTTTCTGCACCAACTGGGCTGTTGAAGACAGGCATACGCCATACAGTGTACTATGACTGAAATTTTGCCTGGACAGCGGCACTATGGCCTACTCTTATATCGAATTCCAACTGCCAATGGATATTTTCTGTGCATGCCAATGTATACATAGGATCTGGGTTTTCGTCCCATCTGAACGACTAGACAGCTGTCCTTGTCAGACCCTCCATCCTGCACCAATGACCAGGAGAAACCATGTCGGAAAATCCCGATGAACTTTCTCGGCCAATGCAGAGATTGAACACACGACCTCGAAGCTAGCGAGCCAGTGTCTCACCCACTACGTCATCAGGAACGTTGAAACAATAAATACTGAAGTTATAAGTAATCCATATAAAAGTGTCTATTATATTTTTAGCAATCAAACAAGTAAGCTAGACCAAGCAAAAGATTTACCACATACACAAAGTTTTTCAAACTATTTCAGTACAATATTATTCTCACCGTATTTTAAAGTTACAATTTCATATTTTCTAAGAAAGTCAAAATATAATTATTTCTATGTCTTTTGCTCAATATGTTGTCAACTCACTATTATACGATCATAGGTGTCATTCTCACACTTAAAACTCATTTACACCGGAAATAACACAATTACCTCCCTTGTTTTCTATTCTATGATATTTTCGCCAATTTCTCAACCGGCAATAGTGAATTATAGGGTTAATAGGATTATTCTTTAACAAGGTAGGACTGTTTATAGATACCATCTATTTTAAGGCTTTATTTTAATAAATTTTAAAAATATAACGTAAAAATATGAAATTGCAACTTTAAGAATGGTAATGCAACAACACTAAACATATTAATTACAATTTGATTATAATATTAAGGCTTCACTTTAACGCTTATTTTGGTTCTATTGGCTCTGAAGTATTATACATTAAGACAGTGGTTCCAAAACTCGTTCTACTTGCGGATCCCTTTGGGAATTTTAAAAAATCTCTGAGACTACAGCATCGGCATTTACTCTGTACAGTCAGATTTCCAATACAAATCAAAAACATGTCATCTTAATAGTCATTCTTATCAAAACCGTGGACTTTCGACGTGGTACATCAACCCATAACAGATGATTGCCATGCCTATTCAAGTGACCCGAACATCAGTTACTGAAATCCATTGTCCGAATATCAACAATTCATATTGAATTTTTACATGGCTATCTTTTTTCTCGGACCACGTTGACTTCATGGACCCCCAACTACTAAGCTCGGAAACACTGCAATTAGGGTTTCTCTACACGGTCTATACTTAGGTCCATTGAAGACATGTTTTTATCTTGTAATCAAGAGTTTCACTATAACACTGCCCTGGAACACACTGAAGTTATGGTTCGTTTGTTCGTTCCTGGAGTTTTTTACGGCCACTCCCACCAAGGGTGATATCACAGAAAAGTGACACCATGTTACAACGAAATGCCTCATAGTGACCATTAGTGCTAAATGATGAGGCCAGCTCAATTTTTTCGGCATAGGTCACGAGATGTAAACAGGGCTAGCATTAATCCCAACCCCAACCCTAACCCTTGACCTAGTCCCAATGCTTACCCTAACCTACAATCTCGCCAACAATCACATGCCTTAACCGTATTTACATTTCACAGCAACCTTGACAAAAATTGAGCTGGCCTTAAGAAATAGATCTAGCCTTAAAGTGACTTCTCAGCGCATAAAATGGTAGTAAGATATCTGTTCATAAACAGTATATAATTTGATACAAAACACAAGATAAAAATTAAAATAATATTTAGAGTGGATGGACAGAAAAAAATCACAACATTTTATAAATATATTTGACATATACAAAAAAAGTGACAAGTCCTGTGGATAAAACCCACAATTCACATATAATCTATGTAATAATTTAAATCACTAATATTTTAAAATTATTGAAGCATAATACAATATTTAGACATTTATTGCATCCAAATATCAAATAAAATAATGCCAATGATAATCATGAAAACTTGCTTTTCTAATAACTTTGCAAAACAAGAGAGAGAGAGAAATGGGGTTTAACGTCCACTCGACACAAACTAGGTCATTTCGGGACTAACATATGGTTTAATTTTATTTCAATAATTCGCTTGCGCGTAGGGATCTTTAGCAGTGGGAGGAAACCGGAGGACCCAGAGAAAACCCACGATGTTGGACAGGCGACCCTACTCCTTGTCACGTACAACTGGGGATTCGAAACCACGCCAGTTTTGTGTATACCTCAAATGAGATATATATCTGAACAATTGTTACCCTTTTGATTTTTACTAAAACAAGCATTTCTATACACTTCAAAAATGAGAGATTTCTGAACTGTTAACTATTTGATTAAACATACATCATGCAAGAGCTAAATCTGCCTATTGCAGGTCTTTCTTTAGGCCTGAAATGTTATCTAAATTATTAATTAGACATTAATTAACTTATCCAGACCATAATCAACTCTCGCTAGTCTGCGATGTTTATTGGATTAGGTTCCGATTAGCTATTCGACTTCCATTCAAGATTTAATCATGAATAGGATAATCAAGACTATGTTTTTTATCATATCGACTTTAGTAATGATGATCGAGGCTAGGCCGAAAATTCAATCGCTAAAATCTTGGTTCACAATGGAGCAAGTTGACTGAAATTTTCAGCAAATTCCCTTTACATTATCAAGTTTTTAACGGCCAGCTCTTTATCTAATCTTCCATAATGTATCTTTAACTAAAAACAAAACCTTATTTTGTCTGCTCACTTTTAAGTTATTTCTCAAGCAGCCTGATTCACCAAAACTGTTTTAAGGATACTGGCATTTCACTGGTTGAGTCAAAACTATAGTACAAATGAAAAGCATGGGTTATAAAAATAGTTAAGTTATATTGTTTTTTTTTTTTGAATAAAGGTCTTTGAACTAAAAGAAATAACACACCCCAAAAGCTCTAAGATATCTACTGTAAAAATATTATCACTTTAAATATAAACTATGTATGATGAAACGTTCTATTTATAAAAAAAATCTAGACCCTGCATACCACCTAATTAAAATTGAAATCAAAAAATAAAAACTAAGCCCAGCACCAAATGTTGTGAAAGAACATTATATAGGTTGCTTTGATTTGTTACTGAATTTGAATCTCCAAATTTTAACCCTCCGTGAAAGTTTATAAATATTAATTTTTCAGAACTAAACTAATTATCATTCATTATTTATTTTGTCCATAAAGATTTAATTTTTAGTTGTTTAGTGTCTTAATAAATAATTAGCCACTTGATCATGTGAACGATTTTTATTCCAAATTTCCAAACTAAAATATAAGGAACTGAAACCTTTTGAGAAGAACAACCAAATAGTCTTTGTGTCTAAGTTAGATTTTTCCCCAAGAAACAGGAGGCAAACTCTTGATAGGTATTCCTGAACAGCAAAAAATCAATTTTGAGTGGCCTTATGTCATGTTTTGGAGTATTTCTTTCCATTGTGCTTCTATACCCAATACTAAATTCTACCTAAGATAACAAATTTCATTGAAGTTTGACTTCTGCTAGTCAGCTTATATTAAACATGCATTATGCAAGAGCTAAATCAGCCTATTGCGGGTCTTTCTTTAGGTCTGAAATGTTATATAAACTATTAATTAGACATTAATTAACTTATCCAGATCATAATCAACTCATCTTATGTGTTGGATATTTACTGGATTTGAATCCAATTTCCTGCTCAACGCTCACTGATGATTTAATCCAAAAATGGATAATAGAGACTATGTTTTTAATCGTATAATAATGATGATCGAGGCTAGGCCTAAATTTCAAACACTAATATCGCGGTTCACAATGGATCAATTTGACTGAAATTTTGAGCATATTCCCTTTACATTATCTAGTTTTTAACTATTATAGTTTAACTGCCAGCTCTGTATCTAGTCTTCCATAATGTATCTTTAACATTCAAAAAGAACTGCTAATGATAAATATATCTGACTTCACATTACCTGATCCAGAAAGCTAAATAAATAAAAATATTGTGCACCTTTACATTAGTGAGGTAGAAATGACATTTTACCAAATATCTCATCTGTCAAATAATAAACTGATTTTATGAGCAATAATTAGTTTGGCAACATGTGCAATATACACTGAGCATTAATATGTTAACTAACCATATATTATACATGTGTGTTGGGCCTCATTCAATCTGAACTCATGTCATTGCCAAATTATTTCAGCACCACACACATGTATGAGTTTTCACTTCAAAACTAGCTAACCAGTCAAAACTAGCTAACCAGTCAAAACTAGCTAACCAGTCAAAACTAGCTAACCAGTCAAAAAAACACAAAATTTGTAGCATTAACCCAATTTTTATACACAGATCTGTATTTTAATCCGATTGGTTATTATATGACATTAAATTCATGTTTTATCTGTCCCAAGCCAAGCCGTTGACAATGATTTTTTTTAAAACTAAATTTCATTCAATAAGAATAGAATTGGGAAACCGGCTAGGCCTATATATCCCCCCCCCCCCTCCCTTGCCATTGATAAAGTGTCACAATATATATATATATATACAATCAACTAAATTAATACAAAAAAAATATAAAAAAAAACACACCCTTTGTATAATAACATGGGTAAAAATCCAGATAGGTGTAGATTTCAAAAACTATATTTGTGGTAATAATCAAATAATGACAAACTACTGACTTATCTCCCTTTAATTGACCCTTAATTTACTAGTATCCTTTCAAAAACTATATTTGTGGTAATAATGAAATACCCTGAATTTACTAGTATCCTGGGCCCTGTTTCTCGAAATCTTAACTAAAATCAATCTAATATTATCCAATCATATTACTAAAGTTTGGATTTTATGTTAGTTAAAATTTCATGAAACAGGCCCCTGGTAGGAAATCATTGACAATAATGATTTATTGAGTTTAATTCACTGTAAGATGCAAAAGCCAAGGATGTCATGTGGATTTTTTAAATTATTAAGAGAAAATAATTTGCTTGTCTAAATAACTTTATATTCTGGGGCCTGTTTCACGAAATTTTAACTAAGATAAAATCCAAATTTTAGTAATTTGATTGGATAATATTAGATTGATTTTAGTGCTTTGCCAATCAAAACTGAAGTATGTACTAAAATTTGGATTTTATCTGTAGTTAAGATTTCAAGAAACAGGACCCAGTACAATTGTTAGAAATTTGTTAGTAAGGGGAAATAACTCTTCAGACCATAACAATTATACAACAGCATGAAACCATTTAAATACAGAAAGCTCATTAAAATATAATATTAAAAGTGTTATTATGACTAGTAAGCAGTGATATACTACACTGTAATACTACATTGTAAGTAAAGTATGCCTATATTATATAATACAAAAAGAATACATGTACATACAATCTGATTAAAACACAGACCCTATTTCGTTTCGTTTTTTTGTAGTTCAAAATTTCGTTTTACTTGTCTTCACGACACTAGGATCTGGGAGAGTTGTTATATAACAGGCGTTCTAGTTGATGTGAGGGATTATCCAATGAAACAGTCTGTTATGACGAGTTCTTGGCGTGCTCTGCATAGAACTGTGGGTAAACCAATAGAAACGTCAACGCTGATTGATTAATCAATGTCTGACGTTATAGGGTCAGAAGTTGTTCGTATGACCCCTGATGCGACCTCCCAGTACAATTGGTCAGATCTTCATGTAGTGTAGCCCATCGAAAGTATAAAATAACGAAACGAAACATAGAAATGTATCTTAATCAGATTGATATTGTATATGGCTCAGTCATTCTAAAAGCTTATGACAAATTTCAATATAAGAAATTAAGTTCTGTACTATATGGCATAAAATAAAAATCATTAAACATTAATGATTTAGGCCTAAGGCTCTGTATAATGAACATAAATTTCCATCACAGGTTTTGATCCCTGATAAAAATCAGATTGCTCATTTAAATGTAGAAAGCTATTTGTTTAAATTCTATAAAATTAAAGCTGGGTGTTTGAATGCTTAATGCCATGCTGGGTGTTTGATTGTTCTATTCAAAGCTGGGTGTTGAATGCTCAAAACAAATCTGGGTGTTAGAATACTAACATCAAAGCTGGTTGTTTAAATGCAAACATCAAAGTGGGTTGTTTGAACGCTCAAAACCAAGCTGGGTGTTTGAATGTTCAAATCCAAGTTTGGTGTTTGAATGTTAAAATCAAGTTGGGTGTTTCAATCTTAAAATCAAGTTCCCAGGTGTTTGAATGCTCAAGTCAAAGCTGGATGTTTGAATGCTAAAGTAATTACTTTGTGGAATGGGTTAAGTTTGGAAATTGCTAACAAAAAACTTTAAACGCAAGAGTTATTATAAGCTCACAGAGGGATTATATCCAAATGAAGAGTCCAGGGGAAGAACGATCTAAGTCACATTTTCGTCTTTTCGCATAGAAGGCAAAACAGACTTTTGGACGAGAATGATTGATGCAAACAGAACAATGAGTGGGTTTAGTTACAACTTCAAAATGATGTTTAGTGCTAATCATAATTACCAGTACAACAATTGACTTCCACTTTTCAGCCAAATTAAGGTCAAATAAAGGGTACGATGAACTTATTTGTCCGGGAGGCCATTTCAGAGGGGCCTTGGTTCGATGTGACGCCAATTGTTTTTACCTGAAATTGATTGTTCCACAGAAAGCTTATACAATTTGCTACCAGATGGCACCATTAACTGGGGTTCGTTGAAAAAGTGACTTAGATCGTTCTTCCCCGGGGCTCTTCAAATGATTCTCTGGTCTACTACAACTATCTGAAGCTCATACACAAAAATACACATGGTCTATTTCATTTTGATTGACAACATCATAGTCTCTGGATAACCATGTCCAAAAGCATGTTGTAGTTTGATAGTCTCGTTTATCAGGTAAAAATATATTTTGTTTAAATCTGGGACTACTCATTTTATTTGAGATCTCAAAGTAATTTCATTATTAAATTTGATGTCCAATTTTCTTAAAATAATAGTTGTTAATTTAAATAATTATCTTAAATCAATGTTCTGAATACCTGACAACTCATCCCAAAGACAAGTCATCTCAAGACAACTCATCCCAAGTTAGAAGACAACTCATCCCAAGTTGGAAGACAACTCATCCCAAGATATCAGCTATACTGAAACTCATACATAAAGATAAGGATATGTCATATTCTGACAAATTTCTATCAGACAATGATATGGAAACAATCAGCACGACTCGGGCCAACATTTTCAGTTATATATATGTATGGTTCAAAGAAGGAATTGAAATGTATACACTATGATAAGTATACAGAGGGCCCAAAACTTAAAACAACTTAAAATTTAAAACAACAATATCAATTTTATTAAAACAATAATATCAATTTTAAGATAACACATTTTTATAACAAAATCAGAATGATCTGAGTGGTCTTCAAAGAAAGCAATTGCATTAAAACAAATATAACTAGCACTTATATTTGTTCGGATGAGTTGTCTTATATCTTGACCCATGTTTTAAAGTTGGGATGGGTTGTCTTATATTGGGATGAGTTGTCTTAGGATGAGTTGTCTGTATACCAATGTGGCTATAAGTCTCTATGTACCAATTTGGCATAATTGGTGTATTAATGGCACAAATGAATATTTGTTTGGCTACAGATTGGAAGTACTTACGTTATCAAAGGTTGGAGATTATGTTTACCATATTTTACGGGATATAAATTGATGTGGAGTATAAGTCGAATCGGCATATTTTACTGTTTTTCCAACCTCCATCCATAAGTCGAAGCGGTATATAAGACGGATGTTTTTCAACTCTACGGTATCAATCTATTATTGAAATTCATGACTGTATACTGTGCCGGTGTATGCCAAGATAAATTGGCCCATAATATTAAATAGGCCTAAAAATAAAAAATCAGGTGTAATTTAAAGTATTTTTGTTTTAGACGATAGTGTGTGCGGCATTGTGGAGAGATGGTAACTGACATTTTTTTTTTTACCTTCATCCGTACAGAAGTCGAAGCGGGGCATAAGACGAAGGCCGAACTTCTGCGAAAAAGAGTATCGACTTATACTCCGAAAAATATGGTAACAATAATGTCAACAACAGCCAAACAGTTTGTAAGAAGAACAAAACGATCATTTATAAGGAACACAATCATATGGTGTAACATTTCTATAAGAGAACACTTGTCGAAACATCGTTTATTATAAACCAGTGATCGTATTCCATATAAATAGTCCTTCTGTTAAAGTGACCAATCTATACAAGCCACTCCAATAAATATTATACATTTACAGATTTTTCAACGAGTCTTATTCCACGTTAGAGCGTATAAAAATGTGCTGAGTCGCATATTTTATTATCGATTTTAGAGATAGTCGAGTTTAAGTAACAGGATCTTGTAGAGTTAAAACTGATTCATCTAATATCACAACATCATATGGAGCACAGTGGGGTAGATCAGTCTTTAAGCACAACCAACCATAAAATCCTTTCTCAAAATCTAAAACTTCTCTCAACCACGATTTGTAACGCCATGAAACTTGAAGTACACATGCGTAAAAAGCCACGCCAAGGGCAGATAACCCAACAGTAAACGGGAATGTTAGTATAAGTAGTGGACAAACGGTTAATTTATGCCATATTGTTCTTTCCTCACTGTAATATAGGTATATGTTATATAACGTAATGGCCCCCATATAAAACGCCATGCAAAGGGACATAATCCATGATATTGGTACAAATATTACAGAAAATAGAACTATATGGACCCCTTGTCTCAAGCCACAACCACATTTTTCACTCTTCTCTTTGTTCGCAAGTCGTTTCAACTCGTGATCTGATAGATCCAGCTGTACGTCCACTGTTTCTCCTGTCTGGTAACCCTGGGTTACAGTTCCAGGCAGAGTAATAAGCTGACCATTCTTAGTTTCTATTGATGATGGTTTCTTGGACAGTGGTTTGGTCAATTCTATCCATTCTTTTTCTTCAGCCATCTTTTCTACATGTATTCACTTTCCATTTTTCAATTCTAAAAGATATAATTCACACAATAAAACAAGGGTAAATAACAGGATTTTTCTAAAATTCTGAACAATGCCATTGGCTCAGAGGACTAAATAAAGCGGTGGACACACTAGCCTAATGATTCGGCCGAATCAATCGGCGTCCACATTTGGCTGGTGTGTCCACTATTATTTGGCCGTCGAATAATTCACCCGAATCAAACATGTTTGGTATATTTGGTCGAATTTTCATTCGGCCGAATTATATTCGCCTGATGTGTCCGCATCGCCGAAACATTCGGACGATTGTAGAATTCATTAGCCAATCACCACTCATCATCCACCCATATTGAGAAGTCACGTGATTGTTTGAACACATAGACGTCACCATGTTTAATCATGTGATGTGAAAGGTGATACAATCGACTGGTGTGTCCACCCATTCGGCCGAAAATATTTGGCGCCGATTGATTCAGCGGAACGATTCAGACAAATGATTCGGCTATGATTGTAGAATTCATTAGCCAATCACCACTCATCATCCACCCATATTGAGAAGTCACGTGATTGTTTGAACACATAGACGCCACCATGTTTAATCATGTGATGTGAAAGGTGATACAATCGACTGGTGTGTCCACCCATTCGGCCGAAAAAATATTTGGCGCCGATTGATTCAGCGGAACGATTCAGACAAATGATTCGGCTAATATGTCCACTGCCAGCTTTTGGCACTGGCTCTCTAAGCCATGTCTTGGTTTTGCTCGCGGTGTTGACTAAGAAAGATGCACTGGATTTTCTGACATGGTATCCCCGTGTCAGTTGTGTACGACAGACGGACTGGCAAGAACAGAGTTTAGGATTGATACAGAATACCAAGGTCTTGTGTAGGCTTAAGTTTGGCGTGCTCCTAAAAGAATAGTTGACAGTTAGAATTTGAAATAATAGCAAACTGCATGGAATAGCCTACAATGTACGGCCATGTTTATTAGCCCTAGTGGTGGAGAAACTGTTTCCTAGACTGAAAGTTCAAAGAAAATGGTGCCATACCATTTAATGTATGCCTTGAAAATTTATAGAAGAATCTTAAACTTCAATCGAAAACTTATACATTGACATGTACATGTAGGTAACCAATGGATGCAGGTCAGTTCATCCCACAACCGTTTCACCCCGGGCTGTTTCATCCCAACCTAATTTTTTATCGGGCTGTTTCATCCCGGGCTGTTTCATCCCCCTTGTTATTATAATAGCAGTCAATTAACTGAGTTGTACTTATTGTTAAATAAACTGTTAAACACTTACTTATTGTTAAATAAACAATAATGTATGGAATGAATAAGTTTTACTCGTCGATTTTTGTTGATTACCGACCGAGATTAGTTCACCGCTGTATATTCGTATTGTTTATTCGTATTGTTTGTTAGTTTATGATGTCTAACATCATTTATCTTCTTTATAAAAAGGTATTTTATAATTACATATTGACAGCTTAATCACTCGCCAAAATACATCATGGGCTCTATACGTATTATTAAATAATCAACTAAATTGCGCAGAAGCTAATGAAACTAAACAATTCCATAGTTATAGTGAAACCAACTATTCATGATAAAATTGCATTGACATATTGTTATTGGTATTAATGTATAAATAAAATATTAAAAATTCATGTAATACCGGTTTTTAAATTTGTGGGATGAAACGACTCGATATAAGTGGGATGAAAGGACCCGTGTAAATTTGGGATGAAACAGCCCGGATGAAACAGCCCGGGGTGAACCGGTAGTGGGATGAAACGACCTGCTCCCGTAACCAATGCAGTTTGATTAAAAAATAAAGGAGAATGAGTTTGTGAGCCTTTTTAACCTCATTCTTTTCAACCCACCCACCCCACCCCCTTTTTTTTTTGACAAATGGGAAAATGGAGTCCATACTTTACCACTATCAGTGATAAGTTGTTTATTTTTTCTACATACATGTAATTGTGGGCTAAGGAGAATTTTGCCCAGACAGTGGCATTTGAGGCTACAATTTATGTAGCATACTTTTCATCAAATTCCAGAAGTCAAAACATGCATTCTTACACATATGAACATGCCAATAACATTAACAGTTCAATAAATCAATGTCTGGCTACTAAATCTTGGAGGTGCTAGCAGTTACACAACTTGAAATTTCAGGGGATATTAAAAGGGTGACTAATCATGACTGCACACCAATTTCAATAGTGCCAACTCAACCGGGATTTATCCTAACCAAATATTTGGAACTTAATATTAACGGGTAGTGACTCACAAGGACAAAGTTTAAGCAGAATACATTTTGCTTTTTTTAGACCAATTGGTTTCCAGTGAGTCAGTACGCTACTAATCCCTGCCAGCCAGTCACCAGAGTGGGAACTCTGGAACTTAGAAGGAAAACTGAACTATGTCAGTCCCTATGTAAGTATGTTACTGACTTAGTGACTGAATGAAGACTGATGATGCTTTCCATTCACTGCTGTTCAGACAGCATTAACATGATAGTAGGCAAATACCGAGGTTAGCAACAGAGAACTTTATTCATATTGCAAACTGCATATTTTCTCTGATAGTTCGATCATAAACAAGGGAAACCATTTTACCTTAGAATGATAGATGTAAGCAACAGAATTCATCTTTTATCGACGTCTTACAGATTGAACAATAGACAAAATGTCAACATGTAGAAATCTAGAATAACCAGACACTATTTTAAGTTCAATTTCTTTTACAATGACTGGATAATCAAGATATTTTAATGATATAAGCGACAAAAAATTGAATAATGTTAATTTCCGGTCGGCTTCTTCGATCGCTTCAACGTTAACGAACGATGAGTCATCCTGCTTGATTTCACCTTTTGACAATAATTCATGAATATTTCAAATGAGAATTGACGAGATAACTGATTACTTAGATAAGTGTTTTGTCTGTAGTGAGAAAATTTACATAAAGTCAATAAACTTATTTGACGTCTTGATTGACAGATATAGGAATTGTTGTAAGGTTAAGTCATCCATAATATGTCACACTCGGCCACACAAATTATTCAGTTAACTCGTCCACACATATTAGTCATTTCGCCAAAATTGTAACGGTCTACTCTTTAACAAAACTATTGGTTGATGGATGGTGATACCGTTGTGGCATTTCTGTGAATATATCACCGTAAACGTCATATAATATAAAACCTTAGAATATAGCCTACTATACCGATGTTATTTTGCTTTATATTGTGTAGGCCTAGTCTTTGATTTTTTTTTTACCGAACACCACACCGCCATTAGGGCAGCTTACTAAACGTTTCATCAGTATAGTGCGCGCTGTATCATAAGGTCTGTCATTGAGTCAACTAGCGTGCTTTCGATTCCCCGGTTGTACGTGACTTAAGGAGTAGGGTCGCCTGTCCAACCTCGTAGGTTTTCTCCGGGTCCTCTGGTTTCCTCCCACTGCTAAAGACCCCTATGCGCAAGCGAATTATTGAAATAAAATTAAACCATATGTTAGTCCCGAAATGACCTAGTTGTGTCGAGTGGACGTTAAACACATCTCTCTCTCTCTCTCTCTCTCTCTCTCTCTCTCTCTCTTTCGCCTAGTCTTTGATTTTGAAATGTAGAGATATATTTTGTTACCGAACACCCCACCGCCATTAGGGCAGCTTACTAAACGTTTCATTAGTATAATAACATCCCACGGTAAAATATATTTTCAAAACTCCAGTAGACACTTGACGCATGAAAAAATGGTTGAATCTTCAGAATTTACACTATTATAAAATACCAGGGTGACGACATAATTCACACATTAAAAACGTCTTTCTTTCTCAAGTTTCTGGGTACATGCACTATATATGAACCTATCGTATCAAGGGGATGGTCCCGGGATTCACGGTGGATGGCTAAATGGTAAGCGCGTACGCGCTGTATCATAGGTATGTCACTGAGTTAACTATCGGTGTTTTGATTCCCCGATTGTACGTGACAAGGAGTAGGGTCGCCTGTCTTACCTCGTGGGCTTTCCCAGGGTCTTCCGATTTCCCCCCACTGCCAAAGACCTCTACACGCACAAGAGAATTATTGAATTAAAATTGAACCATGTTTTAGTCCCGAAATGACCTAGTTTGTGTCGACTGGACGTTAAACTCTCTCTCCCTCTCTCTCTCTCTCTCTCTCTCTCTCTGGCATCACCAAAACTGCGTGGGCCAATGGATGCAACTAATGCACACATCTTGCCAAACCTTCAAAGGCGATGGAATGTTCAATATATTCATTTTGCGTGATCTATACTCAGACAAATTAAAAACTTGACACTCGGGATTTTTGGGACTAGATTTTTAATGTTTGGTTTAAGGCAACTATTTTAGTGTTATGTTGTGCACAGACGACCTTGACATCAACAGAAATCAAGAATACGTCTCGCCGAAAGTCCTTGACATTGATAACGTTCGTGATGTCACAGTACCCCCCAAAATGAAATTCACAGACATGGAGAACAATCGGAATAAAGTGTTTAGTAACGGTTGTGGCCTCCTCTAGCGTCTCGTACAGCCACACAACGTCTTCTCATGGATCTCAGAACATTAGTAAACACTACCCGAGGAAGACGTCGCCACTGCTCAGCAAGAGCATGTTGAAGGTCCTGCAACGTCAGTGGTGGATTCACTTGCTGACGAACACGTCGACCTAGTTCGTACCCGATGTGTTCAATAGGATTAAGGTCGGGGCTAAGCGACGGCCAATCCAGGACTTGGACACCGGAATTTCTTAAAAAATTCTGGGTAGCAATTGCTGTATGGGGTCGAGCATTGTCTTGTTGAAACGTTAGTCCAGGCCCATGTCTCTGCATAAACGGAAGAAGAACAGGTTGCAAAATCTGATCCCTGTACTGGACAGCATTTAAGTTCCCTTGGACAACAACAAGAGGAGAACGTCCATGTGCACAAAAAGAACCCCAAACCATGACGCTGCCGCCACCAAATCGCTCAACTTCTCTGACGCATACTTGAGCGTAACGTTCACCTCGTCTGCGGTACACTCGGACCCTGCCATCGGCAAATCTCAAAGTGAATCGAGATTCATCACTAAAGACAACCGAATTCCACTGTCTTTGAGTAAATCTTATGTGTCTTGTGGCCCATACAAGTCGGTAACGGCGATGAAGAGGTGTCCATATTGGTCCATTATAGGGCCTCCGAGCTCGAAGACCAGCAGCCTGCAAGCGATTTCTAACAGTTTGTGCAGTTACCCTTCCACCAAACATCTCTCTACTTGTGGAGGTTGCAGTGACAAATCTGTTGCTAGAATGACGTAATCGTATTGCTTGATCTTCCTGGAGCGACATCACACGTGGCGCTCCCGCCCTTGGGCGGTCGGCAATAGTTCCAGTTTGAAGCACTCTCATTCTAAGATTAATTATTGTCTGGCGTGAACAATTAAAGGCTCTTGCAATAGTGACCACAGACTGACCAGCATAGAGCCTACCTATAGCACGTAGACGTTCTACATTTGAAAGGCGCGACATTTTCTAACAAAGATGAAAATAACAATTTTAATTTGTTTTTCCAGTTCAAGTTACGTGTGCGTGTTCAGTTTAAGCAAACTTGCATCGATTGACCTCACGAGTTTGTGTTTGCACGTGTTTTTCAGGTTTTTCATCTTTATATGCTCAAAAGTCACGTGATCCACGTGACTTTACAATTTTATGAAATTAAAGGCTTCTTACTACTTACTATCGTTAGAAACACTTTAAAATTTATTTGACTTACCAGAAAAAAAATGTGTTGAAATTCATCAGTGTCAAGTTTTTAATTTGGCTGAGTATATTTTCGAACTATTATAGCAAGAATGGCTAGCTCTTTATCTAAATCTTACATAATATATCTGTGATAGATGAAGATCTCCGGGTTTTCAGATTAGGTGAGCTAAAAAGAAATTTATTGAAACAGTATTACCCCCTCGAGGTAATAGAAGTTGGGATAAATAAGGCTTTGGCAATTGATATCCAAACACTGAGGGCTACTAAAGTAAAAGACGATTCGGATAATATCATTACCTTTGTCGCTACTCATAACCCCCAACATCCCAACGTCTTTAAAACATTGTACGAAAGCAAGTCACTCCTGGCATCAAACGACAACCTCAGAACGAAATGTGATAATGTTCATTTCATTAAATCACAAAGACAGCCACCTAATCACAAACGCCTCCTAACCAAAGCAAAATTCAATTCATCTATCACAAGGACCGGCTTTTATGTATCTGAATGCTTGGATCTTCGATGTAAATGTTGCGACCATATTACGTCAATTAACAAATATAATTTTCATAAATTTACGTTTAGTGTCAACGACAATATGAATTGTGACACAAAAAATCTCATATATGTCTTGACTTGCAATGGGTGTCTAAATTTTTACATAGGGGAGACGTCCACGCATCTACGGGATACAGTACGCAACCATCGACGGGATTGTAATATTGAAAATGGGCCCTTATTTGTAAATAGACATATCTTTAAATGTGCACAACACCCACAAGTAAAATTCCAAATTTTCCCTTTTTATAAAATGAAAGTCGATGACACCACGAAAAGGAAATTAATGGAAAACCATTTTATTAAAAAATACGTTCCTCGACTTAATAGTCAATAAGTAACAATTGGCCATTAGCTTCATTAATTTTCTTAAATCTATCCCATGATTATCTTCCATTCATTGTTCCTAAATTGAACCCATATACCACAGATTAACACACGTGTGTATATGTTTTCTATTAGTTAACGATATACTATGTAACCATAGACAATGGTAACTATAGCCAATTAAAACCACCGTGTTACTATGTAAATATGTATAAATATAATATACTGCCCATCTTTATACAATGACATTATTTATGAATAGTCCCAAGACGGACGAAAAGTACTTTAAAATGTTAAAATGTTATTAAACCAGTGTTGAAATCAGTTTGTGTCGGCATACCTTTTATCTTTTCATCGTTTACCGTGAAACAAAGTAGTGCAGCTTTAGGATTGTGTTAATATTTCTGGATATATATATGTATATCAAATGAGACGTTAAAGGATCAATAACCAATATAACCCTCTTATTCAATAATTATTTTCAATAATACTCGAAATTAAAATCACGAATTTGAATTCAGTGTTGGTCCATTTCACTAAATATTGATGTTATTACCTTGTCGTGAAAATATGGGGTTCTTTTATCCAATATATAAGACATAATGAACATTTTGAAATCAGTACACGGGTCATGAACGAAGAAAATCATATCATACAAGACAGTGCGGAAATAATTAGTATTGGCTGATCAACGATAAAATATTAATAGAAAAAAAAAGCGCGTACAATGGACTATATAATAAGCATACGGCGGCTGATAAGGGACATGAAAGATAATATCATTTATTTTTTTTAATATTCACAAAAGACAATTTTAATATAATTTGGTTTATTTTATAATTTTAACCTAAGTCAATTTTAATTTCCACCAATGTCAATTGAAATATAATTTGGTTTTTTTTTTAAATCTTTACCCAAGTCATTTGTAATATAATGATGGTACATTTTGGCAGGACATCGGCGGTCCCGCCTATTCTTCTTCGAAATCCTGTTGCTGGTCTTGAAAGTACCGGTTGCTGGTGGGTTTTTTTCTTTTCTTTGGGGGGGGGGGGGGGGGGCTTTGGGGTGGGAAAATAAACGTGCAGGGATCGACAGAATCTTAATCTGGATTTGCCAGTGAAACGCATTGAAATGCCTAATGAATGCAGTATGCCAGAAGGGAAATTTTGCTTTAATAGCGGCACTACATCTCTTATATGAAATTTCAACCGTCAAGAGTTATTTTACATGGATACTGATATCTTCATGCACCCATGGAGAGAAATGGGGTTTAAAGTCCTACTGTTCTGCGCCGACGGGGCTAATGAAGATGAAGACGGGCTTATGCCATACATTGTGCTATGAGGGAAACTTTGCCCGGACAGCGCTATTAAGCTTTACTCTTATATTGAATTCCAAGTGATCTTTTACGTGCACGCCAATGTGTACACGGGGCCTCTTGTTTGTCCCGTCCAATAGACTAGACAGCTGTCCTCGTCAGGACCTCCACCCTGTACCACTTAAAGTAACCTTTGCTTTAGACTGTATCTTGTGGACAAGTATTATATTAATCTTATGCTGAGAACATTATAGTCAGTGGGGTACATATCGATATTGTTTTGGGGGTGGGGGTGTAGAATTCTGATGGTCAGAAAACACTTATAACATGAGTAAAATTGAGTAGGACTACTACGCATGGGAATTCATGTTATTTATTAATAATTTTACAAGAACGTACAAAGTACTGCGAATCTGTGACACAGTATGAAAGTGAACATCATTTACATGGACCGATATAATTATTGTTGTGGTGAATATATATAAATTAGAAAATATATGAATATGTCCTCATATTTTCATCAAGTGTCCGCGCGCTTAGTCAAGTTTGACTACCGATCGGCGATTTTGTTAAGAACTATCGTGTCCGTAAGGTTACGCTCACACGCAAGAGTAAATATTCATTGATGCGTTCCTATTTCATTACTGAACGCATAGCAATTTTTACTAATTTGAGCTTTGAAAAACTGGCTTGTATAGTGATATCTTTTAAAGCCCCAAAACTGTTCAACTAGTCTCTTATGGTCAGCGCTCTTTTAGTTATCAAACACCTGTTTTATGGAATAATCTACCATTTAGTTTCCTTTAAAAAAACAACTTAAAACACATTTATTAAATCAGGCTTTAATCTTGTTTATTTATGATTTACATTGTCACTTTGTAAAGTGCCCCTGAACATGTTATATGAAAGGGTGCACTATAAATATGCTGTAATAATAATAATAATAGATTAGCCGTTTGATTTGTTGGATATAAACCTTTGAATAATAGCGCCTAACAGGCAGCTGTGTTTAATTGTGTTTAATTATGTTCTCCTGATTTTGATTGTTTCTGTGTGTTTGAAGTATATGTTTGTGATATGCGCTTAGAAACACTTCACGTGCAATGAAGCGCTATATAAATCGAACAATAATAATAATAATAATAATAATAATATCCAATCAAAGCAATCAAACGTATCAATCAGATTGTCAAACGTATACACACAGATATATTTATACATATAATAACTTTTTGTGATTTTACTCTTCTATTTCGGCATTGTTTGTTTACCTCCTGCTGTGACTGCACTTATTTTGAGACCACATTTACGCCCCTAATTAGGCCTATACTAGTTCTCCATGTGCAGAATCGACAAGCATATCTCTGTAATACTGTGTGGACGCGTTGACTTTTGTATGGACGAGTTAACTTTTCTGTTGTGGACGAGTCAACTTCTTTTTTGGGCGAATTAACTTTAATTTGTTGACTATTAATTTTTTTGTTTTTCTGTACCGAGTTGACGTACGGCCGAAATAACTGGTATTCCATCAGATCACGTGACCAATATCATGTGACTTTCTTCCATATTTACATCTCTGAAAGACGTCTGCTGATGGAACAGGTTGTCATGTAAATTCCAGTTTCAGGACATATTGGCACTAATCTACATGTTAAAATTTGTCCATTCTTTCAGGTAAATATTTTCTTAAAAACTGGTTTTAGAATTTTGTAGGTTTAAATTGAAATTTGGGCTGAAATATTGCAATGCAAGTCAACGGTCAAGTCATTGCCAAGGAACTCACTCAATATAATTATAACTTAAAAGAGTTAGAGAAGCCATGAAGGCCATGCATGGCATGGTGATGATATTGAATGTCATTTTGATTATATATATCAACATTAGGCTGTCAACAGAATTATTCCATTCCTTTACTTTAGATACAGTCTCTGATCGTACTCAGACCGTTCCTGTTCGTCCGTATTATTATTATTAAGGCCCTGCAATCATGCATGGCATGGTGATGATATTGAATGTCATTTTGATCACCATACATCAATATTATTAGACTGTCAACAGAATTATGCCATTTAATTATGAAAAGCCTGTACGGTCTATATTCATCTGAGATTGTGGAAATTTAACAATAGCTAGCCTTAATTATTAAAGTTAGTTCCTTTAAATTTAGTTAGCAACAGTCTCTGATCGGACTCTGACCGTTCCTGTTCGTCCCTATTAAATTAGTATTAAACTGCTATATATGAAAATACCACTCCACCCCCACAATGACAAATAGTAGGTAAGATTCCAAAATAGCATTAGAACAGAGGTGGGGCAGTTTTTTCATATTCCAGCTTGATACATGACCAGGGGGGTGGATGGCCGAATGGTTAGCACGTGCGCGCTGTAGGCTATCATAAAGCCTGTCATTGAGTCAACTGGCGTGGTTTCGAATCCCTGGTTGTATGTGACAAGGAGTAGGGTCGCCTGTCCAACCTTGTGGGTTTTCTCCGGGTCCTCCATTTTCCTCCCACTGCTAAAGACCCCTACGAGCAAGTGAATTATTGAAATAAAATTAAAAACCATATGTTAGTGCTGAAATGACCTAGTTTGTGTCAGTGGACGTTAAACCCCATTTCTCTCTCTCTCGATACATGACCAACAGGAACAGTCATAGGACAGCTTCCGATCAGAGACCTTTCCTAAAGGAACTACCCTAGCCTAGGTGCCTAGCCATTTTTCTATGACAGAAAATATTGACAGTGAAATTTTAAAATAAATTCAAAAATTGTACTTTTATTTGATGTAATAATATAATCACCGTCGGTTCAATTACAGTTTTTCTAAGAATGGCACGAACAAGTCAATGTAATGTAAATAACATTGAGACATTTTACTACGAACCAGAAAGGTTATTACATGCATGTTATGTGACACATGTCGCATGTTGATCTCGGACAATCTGATTAAAATACAGATCTATATTTCGATTCGTTTTTTATACTTTCGATGGCCTAACTACATGACGATCTGAGCAGTTGTAGTGGGAGATCGCATCATGGTTCATACGAGCAGCTTTTGACCGTATAACCTTGAGCAGACATTTGATGATGTTTCTAGTAGGATACCCACAGCTCTGTATTATGCATCGCACGCCAAGAACTCACTGCAACAGACCATTTCATTGGCTAGACCCTCACAGATCGCAGGTTATATATAGCAACTCTTCCAGATCCTAGTGTAATAAAGACAAGTAAAACGAAATTTTAAACTATAAAAAACAAAATGAAATAGGATCTGTGTTTTAATCAGATTTCATCTCAGAAAACTGACAAGAATAGGGGCATTAAAAAAGAAAAGAAACGAAATACATGTAGGATCTGTGTTTTAATCAGATTTTTCAACACTACTACTTTTAGTATTCATCGCATTCTTCTAATAAACCCACTTTCTGGGTAGTGTTCCTTTATTTAATAACTTTTAAGGAGGCAATAATACTTTCACTTTCAACCCCAAAATTATTGAAATTGATTTTGAAAAATATCATTATATTCTTGCAAACTGATCTTAGAATATACTATTTACTCAAAAATGATAGCGAGAGAGACAGAAATGGGGTTTAACGTCCACTCGACACAAACTAGGTCATTTTGGGACTAACATAATATGGTTTAATTTTATTTCAATAATTCGCTTGCGCGAAGTGGTCTTTAGCAGTGGGAGGGACCCGGAGAAAACCCACGAGGTTGGACAGGCGACCCTACTCCTTGTCACGTACGGTACTCAAAAATGAACATGCTGGATGAGCTAGTCCGAGTAAAGATTTTGAGTGAATGTTGGTTAAACTAATTGAAGACTTTGCAGGACTTCCCTCGTTAATGGAAATGTTTAATACATAGTCTTGGCATTATGTATTGGATTTGTCTAAAATTAAATTGGGAGCTCAGTGAGTAAGACATTTAGACATTGGCTCGCTAACCTGTAGGTCACATATTCGAGCCTGGTTTTGGCCAAGAAAGTTCAGCCCTTGTTATTGATGCAAGATGTGACGAAAAAACAGGTCCCGTGTAACTATTGACGTGCACGTAAACGAAATCTTGACAGTTGGAATTTTAAATAAGAGTAATGAGTAGGCCATGCAGTTGTGCTGTCTGGGTAAAATTTCCCTCATAACACACTATATATGGCATATATGCCCTTATTCATTAGCCCAGTCGGTGCAGAACAGTAGGAAGTTAAACCCCATTTCATTTCATTTCTAAAATTAATTTCCGGTTTCCTCCCACTGGTAAAGACCCCTATACGCAAGCGAATTATTGAAATAAAAAATTAAACCATATGTTAGTCCCGAAATGACTTAGTTTGTGTTGAGTGGATGTTAAACCCCATTTCTCTCTCTCTCTAAAATTAATTGCATAATTTAAAAGATAGATACAAAGATATGATAAATTAAAAATTTGGCATCCCCTGAAACCATCAAAGGAATAATAAAAAGAACAATAATAGGAATACAAAATGGACATCAAAGATACTTTCCATTTTGTATTGTTATTATTGTTCTTTTTATTATTACTATGCATTATCACGGGACCATTTTATGTATAAATTTATCTGATATTTGTAGATTTATTTTGGTAAGAGGACACCTGTGAAAGGTGAAACACCCTTTGTAAAAGGCTTCTGAATCTGATTTTTAAAAAATTTAAAAGTCACGTCATAATCCAAATGTATAAATAATGATTTTTTTTTATCGTTGATGTTTTACATACATGTATACAATTTCACATCGTCTTCTTTATATTATATTATTGGCATACTTATTCAACAAGGAAGTTACTCAAATATCTATTTTATTTTTACACCTGTGACGGCGTTAAGGAGCATAAAATAAAAGATCTGACTGTTTATTTTACTTGTGCAAACCAGTGAGGTGTTACAATAGTTACATAGAAATAGAAGATGTTAATACAACTGTCTTAAGGCTAGGTTCCCACTACCACGATTCGCGTCAAATTGTCTTTTTTTGGGGGGGGGGGGTAAGGGGGTCCTATATGGTAAGCTCTGCACCTTCGCCTCTAGCAGGCGACTGCCTGTAAACCGGAATTTTTTCGGGCATTTCAGGTTCTGCTTCCCAAACATTCATCGAGCCTGTACAGTGTACGGCTATGTGTATCTTTGACATAATCCAATTGTCTGTATGCTTTGCAGGGCGTTTAGCGGCATGCCGGGACATAATTATTAGAAACGATTTTATTATTGCAATTAATCTATACTAATATTTGTGACTGCCGTTTGTGTGTCTGTTCAGGGTTAGCGGCTACACTAGGGCTAGCTTGGACCGGGTAGTAACATAGGCCTGGTGGCGTTGGACTACCGCTTATAGTTTCAGAATTATGCTACTTTCAACCCGTGCAGCACCGTGTCATCCACTAGTATTTGATAATAACACTGACTTGTATGATTGTTAAAAGTAGAAATTTATTAACAGAGAGGTAGTTTAGTTAGGCCAGTGATTCTCAACCAGTGTGCATACTTAGGAAGTTGTGGCAATTGAGTATTCACTAGTGTCTACTAATAAGTTCATAGCTGTGTGTTTCTTCATTTAATTTGAGTCATTGTATGTGTCTATGACTAGTCATCTGTCTATGGTTGTATGCCGTCTGACTTACCATACTTATCATGTTTTTATTTTGTAAAATTCAGATATTTAGCTAAGTGCACTGCTATTTTTTTGTGTGTTCCAAGGTGTGCCGTTGACAAAAAATTGTTGAGAACCACTGAGTTAGGCTTAGTGATTAATGACTTTTGGCAAAGGTGGTTATCATAATGACCCAATGAATCATTCCACCAAGTCTGTTAAAATGTCTTTAAAAATATTCAGAACTTTAGCATTAAGTGTACATAATGCCTGTTGTGAACTTCAATGAGTAGATTTTCCCCAGGTCTTTTCTTGTGACTAAGCTTGAACAATCTATGCAAATTTGAACAAATTTTGTCTAAAGAACTCTTGGTTGTAGAGTGGCGACAAGAAACTCACAAATGGACGAGCTGCCAATGTTACAATTAAATCTAGACACCTATAATACTACTCTAAAGTTAATTTAAAGATGCATAATAGTGTATGGCAAGACGACCGCCTAAAATAAACTTTTTACAGCTTGGAGTATTTCCCTGTGACTTTAAAGTATTTAATTGTGATTAATTCTGTGGGGTTGGGTTTGAAGTTTAAGCAAACTTTTGAAATGATTTTAGTCCAACTATATGATCAAATCACACAAGTTGTATACGGGAAGTTAGGCCTATATTTAAACATGCATTATGTAAGAGCTAAATCTGCCAATTGCAGGTCTGAAATGTTATCTGAATTATTAATTAGACATTAATTAACTTATCCAGACCATAATCAACTCTCAATGTCATCACTAGCCTGCGATATTTACTGAATTAGAATACGATTTGCTGCTCAACTTTCATTCATGATTAAATAATGAAAGAAATGGATAATCAAGACTATGTTCATTATATCGTACCGACTTTAGTAATGATGATCAAGGCTAGGCCAAAAATTCAATCGCTAAATTCTCAGTTCAGGGTAGATCAATTTGACTGAAATTTTCAGCAAATCCCCTTTACATTATCTAGTTTTTAACTATTATTGTGAGAACGGGCAGTTCTATATCTAATCTCCCATAATG